GCAGCCCAGCCCCGTCCGAGGAGGCTGGGGTCCTCGCCTGTGCCAGACGCCCGAGGATGCGTGTCTTGCCAACGGCACCATCTGCTGCCAGGCTCCTCGCTCGGTGCCGTCCTCCCCACGCCTCCCCAGAGGGTTTTCAGGTTCCCTCTGCTGCGCAAACCCCCCCCAGCGCGGGCTCGCCAGCCGGGGGAGGCCGAGGCAGCCGCTGGCCCCTGGGCACACGGGGCTGCAGTCCCTCTGCCTTGCTCTAATCCCCTTTTCCCTGCAGTCTCCCAGCGCCTGCCTGGGAACGGGAGTTGGCTTGCCTGTGTGGGCAGCTGCTCCAGCAAAGGTCATCGGGCAGCAGGTTCGGCCTCCTGCCTGCCCGCCCCCCCGGCCACGAGCCCGGCTCCCCGCGGCTCCGCAGTCGGAGTGGGACACGGCTATTTTCGGCGCTGCCACCCAGGATGTAATCTTGGCTGCCTCCTCTTCTTCTCACCACCACCTCCTCCCCCTCCTCTCGCTCGCTGTCTTTCTCTCCCCCCCTCCACAAGTGATCAAAAATAGTGCCTGTGGTGTTAAATTTCTCACTCTGCAGCTTATTAAAAGCCTCTGAGTGCCTGACGCTGAGCCTATTTGAAGCTCAGCCGACTTCCCAGTTTCTGAGCTGCTCCAGTGCCTTTTTCTTCCCTTCCCCTCTCTTTCCTTTTTTTTTTTTTTTTTAAAGGTCATACGTTGCGCCATGCATAAGCAAAGCCTCAAAGTCACAGTGAGTGCTAATTAAAACGTCTCGGGAATAACTGGGGACGGACGGCTTCGCTCCCTCTTCCGCTCCCTCTCGCTCTCCTCTGTCCCCGGTTTCTATTTGCGGCGTGCGTGTGCCTCTCTCGACACACGCAGCCGCTCTCTGACGGAAGGTGGCTGGGGTTTGTTGTTTTTTTTTCATCTAATGGAAGAGCGTTGGCGAGGCCGGGAAGCTGGGGAAATGGCCAGCTGCTATTTTTAGGATGGGAAAAAAGTGTCTCCGTCAGCGTCCTCTCACCAGCTCTTCCCACTGCCTCCCGCCAGCTCCGGGGGAACGGGGGGCCCGCAGGGATCCGGCCCTGCCTCCTCGCAGGGTGCCCTTGGCTGGGCTCTCCGCGGCGTGACGCCTGCTGGGACTTGTAGCCCTGGGCAGGGGCTCTCCTGCCCTCATGGGTTTGGGGAAAGGGCCTTTTCCTAAACCCTGCTCTGCCAGCTCCCCCCCCCCCCCCCCCTTCCCCGGCGTCGCCCCCACAGTGCAGGGTTTGGCCGCC